AACTTGTCCTCACCAATTCCAGACCTGTCTCTCATTGATTACCAAGCACCTGTCAAAGCGTCTCCGGACAGATACCGCAGACCGAACAACCAGACACGACGCACGAACTCTGGGGTGGGTACGCCCAATGGCTCGGCAGCGCCATCTGGCACAGGCATGGCAGCAGTGGCACACCTCTACCAGCAGCCATCGCCACAGTCTGAGCGACAAGTGAGTGTGGACGACACGGCCTTGCCCAAGACGGGTAGCACAGATGCGGCGAAGAGGTATCGTCGAAGAAGTGCAAATATGCTCGATACCAATGCATCACCTGGCCAGTATGATGATCATGCCTCTGCCGGAGCGCCTCGTCCAGTGTCCACCTTCGGATCTAGCGCGCTGTCTACACCTACGTCTTTGAATCCGCCTACTCTGCACGCACGCAGCGGCAGCAGAGATGGCGATGTCACTTCACGATCAGTGGCAACGCCTCCTCTCACTCAGGCGGACTCGTCAAGATCCAGTGTACGTCTTGTTGACAATAGCAATGGCTCGGTACTTGCACCCAAATCAGTCAACGTCCCGCCACGAGGATCTTCAGATGCGAGCAAGCGGCTAGTGACTCCATCACCATTGTCGAAGCAAACCAATGAGATTGAGTCTCAGAATGCGCCACCTGCAAAGCCTAGAACGTATGCATCTGTCGCTCAAGCGGCAGTGACAGCACCGAGCCCAGCAGCACAACATCTTGCCGCGGTGAACGACAAGAATGGCAATAAAGGCATGACTTCGCGACTTCGCCGAGCGTTCTCTTTCGGCAGCGCTCAAGAGCTGCGTCGAGCATCTGCAGAGAACAACATCTCAGCCGCCGCACAGGCTCGGACACAGCAACAGCAAAAGGTGGACGATGGCATGGATGCTGAGCAGCAAGAGATTGCCAGGCGACAAGAGGCGGCAGGTATTGGTGCAGGCATATACTCTGGACAAGGTGGTTTCAACGGGTCGACGGACAACATCTCCATTCAGTCGACTGCTTCATCAGCGTCGATGATGCTGAGAAAGATGGGCAAGGGGGCCAAGAAGAGTGCTAGAAGCATCAAGGGCTTGTTCCGACCCAAGTCTGTGATTGGCGTACCAGCTGCCGACGGGCCTGTGCAGGTGCAGACAGCGCCAGTGCGGCAGCCGAGTGTCGCGCAGGTGTCTATGGTCGCTGTTGAGGCTGAGAGGCACAAGGTGAATGTCAATGAGCACCCGTCTGAGAAGGCTGGTGGAGTGACTGGCTTCCCCAAACTAGAGCGAAACTCGATCGACGCTGCAAATGCTTCGATGCGAGGCTCTGCCGATGGTTCTGACTCGCACTCACGGCGCAGTGTCGTGGGCAGTGACAAGGACCGGGCGGAGGTGCTGGCGGCGGTGAAGAAGGGGATCTTGAAGCGATCAGGCACATCCTCGCCATCAAGCTCGCCCGTGCTGCGGCCGACGGAGAACATCCCTCATATCATAGAGAGTCCAGCCTCTTCGCCAGGACCAGCAACGCCTACTGGTGCAGCATCAGTGCGTACGGGGTCGATCACGAATAACCCAGATTACTTCACACGGTCACTCACGTACAGCCGAAGCATGCCCAACACGCCCAATGGTAGTGCCAAGTCGATCAGCTTCTCGCCACGCATACAATTCCACGATGCCTGGAGCAGCACAGAGTACGATCGAAGGGGAGATGTGGCCACTTGCAACCGCCTGACCCCGATCTTGGCTCAGCAGATCAAGGAGGAACTGAACACTTTCAAGATGGTAAGCTACATTCAACTTGTATGATCATGCGGCACTATGCTAATATTGAAACAGGAAATGGAAGTCCACGAGGCTAGCAAGCCACACACCCACTTCTTCTAATGACCACACATCTACATCATCTACACAAATGAACGAACGAGACCACGCGGCGTCATCGATCCACCTTCACACCTCCCTCGGCTCTTAGCGGCGTTCACAGGTGCCAATGGACGGCGTATCGGGTCGACAGGGGAAAACGAGTGCTTGTTACGATCAACAGGTCGACTTTCTTTACCAGGCCCGAGGGCAGGAGGCCACAATGGACCGACTGTCACTTCTAGGCTTCTTTGCATCAAGTCACTATTCAGCGTTTGCATATTGGGTCCGGCGCATCGGTTGAGGTGAAGGGACTGGATGGAAGGGGTGAGGAACAGGGCAGGCATTTGCATATCTGCTGTAATGCACACAGGATGAGAGATAGGGTAGGATAGGCTTGTTGGACTATGCTACGCTCTTCGTCACTTCCGCATGCATCGACTGCAGTTTCAGTTTTCTGATTGCATCGGTCGAACGAAAGTGGGTTTGCACCACAGTGATGTGAGACCGCCATGCTGTGTATTGTGGAGATTGGCTTTCGTGGATGTTTTGCATTTGCATTGGCTGTTTTGGGTCTGGCCCGCATGGCTGAAGCAGGTGCGGTGGTCCTGCTTTTGCTGTGAAGTCTCACTGTGAGACTTGGATTCTGGCCGACGCTTCTCCTGGCTCGACCATCTCAGCGATCCGCCACGAGGCAAGATCGGTCACGGCGCTCAGTGTGAGGCCTCAGGCTCTTTGTTCAGAGCCTTCTATGGCAGTTCTCACATCCATAACCCAAGGTACCCCACGCCTTTCCGCCCCCGCATTGCCACGCAGCTGTGGCGTTCTTTGACATCATCACCTCGCCCTCGTTTCGAGCATACGGCATTGCCACTGTTCTAGATCGAGTCTGTCTGAACACACCCACCAAGGTTTTTCCCAGACCTCAACCACATATCATGGCCGCACTCATCATCGCTGGCGTGATCGCCCTGCACGAGAAAGTCGAGTCGAAGCGCGAGGCCAAGCGCGTAAAGCGAAGAAATACCGAGGTCAGATATGAAGAGTTGCAGAAGGAGACTAAGCTGCGGCTGGAAAGGACCGACAGCGCTGGTGGCCAAGGGAGGAGAAGCGAGAGTTTGGAGAGGGAGAGGCAGGGGGAGAAGAGAGGGGAGGGGCTGCCGGGGTATGAGGAGGTTGCTGGGCGTGGAACGAGAGGGAGGGGAGATGGGGTGAGTAGCTGAACTTGGAGTGAAGGGCGAGGCAGAAGAGTCAGAGCCGAGGCATACTACGACACGGGTGTTCGCTCTCGCCACGCCCGCGCTTGCTCGCTCGGTGTCACCATGTGGCAGATATCACCTCATGTTCGGCGGCTGGCCACACGAACCCATCTACCGCGGACCACGGACCCTCAGCGAGACTGCGTCTAAGACGGACGACTCCGGCGCTCCTGATGCAGGCTGTGTGTTCAGCTCGCAATGCTCAGCATGGGAGTACGATTGCCTGCCCCGGGCACTCCGCGACCCAATCTGCACCACCTTCATCATGCCAAGCTGGATAACACTGTACAGTCGGGAGCCTGAGATCGATTTACCAATAGCGACCGCAACCCTCATCTTCTGAGATCCGGACCTGATGTGAACGGAGGCGAGCTGGTAGACAGGTTGGGCAGCGCTTGATAGCATGCCAGGCTCAGTTGGCACTACAGCCACAGTCCAGGACTAGTGCAACGAAGAAAGCATGGTCTCGGAGAGACCGGAGGAGGCAGGAAGATCATGGGCGATGGATGATACCTTGGTATTCTGCGTTTGAGCGTTGCGCGGTGCGCGGAATGGTTGACTATGTCAGTGCCTGCCTTTGGCAGACCGCTATGTAGCCATGTCAATGCAAGTGTGCAATCACCCAACCCTTCCCTAATCGCGCAAATATCACCGCGCTGGCAGTCAACGTTCTGAAACGCCGGCTACGGGGAGTCTGAGAAAGGCAATGTTTGCTGGCTGAATTTCTGGAGGCAAGTACGCATCGGGGCAACCACGCGTGGGCGTGAGCGTTCCTTCCTTTTCATTATGCTTGCTGTCTTGCTACATTAGCGCCGTTCATGTTCTGACCTCACCTCCTCCCAACATGACCATTTCCATATCAATATTCAACATGTGGAGCCAGACCTTGCATAGCGTTATCTGGATCGCGACGGACGGGTCCAGGAGTATCTCCGTAACATGTCCGGATAGTGCGCCGCTGGAAGTTGCCTTGCTTTGGTGGTGATGTGGTGCAGCCGTGGAGATGCGCTAGCGACAACCATGAGGGCGAGACGGATTGTCGTAGAGTGCACCACTCGCCCCGTGCGGCCACCATTCGCATCCGCTGGAGCTGACGATACCTCATGCATTGTGGAGAGACTCTGCCGCAGGGCTCGTGGTCGTGGAGAGTCATGTATCGGCATACGGACGCCCATGATCGTCGATATGCGAGGGAGACCAATATTTTTCAGGACCATCCCCCATTGGTGGACCTTCTGCCTATGCTAGCACGTCGACTGTTGCGGTTACTGGACAGTTTCGGGGACAGCAGGAGCTGCCTCCGCCGCTTTGTGCCAGTCCAGTCGATTTTGGGATCTGCTCGTACCTGGCATCTCCCTCTGCACGATCCTGAAGCTACGCCGACAAGCTCTCGTCTCGAAGCCACGCTATCAGAACTGTTCACGCCGGATTGGCCAATGGAGATGAAAGCGCCGCACCTACAACGGTCTCGTTGCGATAGCTGTCGCCAGTACCAAGATCGCTAATTCACACGACCGAACTTCACCCTGGGACTGAACACCCCAAGACTGCTAGCTGGCCCCAGTATCGCGAGCAGAGCTCCCATCATGCTCCTGGTGCGGCCGTATCGATCGATGAGCATCTCCGCTGTTGTCAGACTGCTGGTTGTCGTCGATATGGATCATACTCCGCCCGGCCTGACCGCCAGATCACAGAGCTGCTCACGGAACGGCATGCGCGCAGTCCTTTGCCTCTGCCAGTGAGAACGGATCCACTTGCCGAATTGCACGGCCAATCAAAGTGCGGGACTTGCTCCAAAATCTCGATTTTGCCGATTTCGGTTAGGTCGACCCTCCAGCGACCCCTCACGAATGTGAATCATATACACTGCTGCCGGCAATTTCAAGCACCGCCCGGATCGTATAACGGTTAGTACAATGGTCTCATATCTCGGTATGAGGTTGCCCAAGGCACCCGAAATCCATAAATCTGAGTTCGATTCTCAGTCCGTAAGTTCTCCTGCACTCCACACCTCTGCTTCCCCTCCTAACACGTTCTCTAGAGGCATATCCTGCTGGGCAGTACATCTTTTGCTCTATCCGCCTTGTGATTCATTTTTTGTTCATTGTGGGGTCAGTCACTGCACAGCCAAGGCCGAAGTGAGCTGAGTCATGCAAGGACGTTCGATCTTGCTCCGTTGCCCGTCTATGATCTGCAAATGCAGCTATCCACTCGTTGAACAATGCAGCCACTGGCGTTGGCATACTAGGGACACATTTTGTTCAGACATCTTTGCTACAGGAGCTGACGAGACTGCGGAAGATCTTTCGACGTTCAGGTGACGATGTAACATTTCCTTCCAACTATGCAACCAGCAGGAGAAAGCGTATGCTTCCACCCATAATGGCCCCTCCAAGAGAATCGTACTCCGCTTGATCTTGTAATTAGAGGCGAGCGGTCACGAGAGTCTGAACAGATCGCCGAGCAAGCGTATGACATCGGTCGACGCCTCCACGGTTCGAAGAAGGCGCTGTCACGAAACTCGAATCTCTGGCCCCGCTCTCGACTGCCCATCCGTTCTGGATCTCTCCTTGTGCACTCTACGTTTGATCACGACCCATACTGCAAGTGTCTTCTATTGAATGCTTTACAATGTCGCTACAGCGAGGTTCCCTACGCAGATCAGCACGATCCGCCATTCGGACAAGAGCAGTAAGCTTAGCCTGAGGACCCCAACATACGAGACCAAAGACGCCGGTAGCTTGATCAACATCTGATATTTTCGAGTCTCTTGCACGCTGTTTCCAGTATTCGGAGCTGCTCCACAAAGAGTTTGTGCTCACAAGTTCCTTCCGTCAAAGTGTGCAACTCCGATCTGCCAGGCTCAAAGTACAGACGTTCCAACTTCAGACGACTCCTCTCACCTTGATCAACGGTGACTGACACAATGTATGCGACCGCGCTCATGCTCTACTGCTTTACTACTCCAGTCAAACCTGGTGGGTATATCCAGCGACCTCCAGTGGAAATTGGATCGTCCCCGCTCGGCTTAATCTGGCGGCAGTCTCCTTACACGCGATTGAAAGCCAGATCGCTACCTCTCCATCTTTCTCGGTCTCGGGTACTGGTATGTCTGCGACCCAGTCATCTTTGAGCGTCCCTCGAGGTCCATGTATAAGCCGACAAAGCCTCTGCCGTAGACTTGGACTCGGAACGTTGTACGTCCTCAGCTCCTCCCGAGTAACATAACGGTGGGATTATTGACGATGAATAATTCACCTACCTGAGCATGTTCTTGTGACCTCGCTGCGCCAGCTCACTTCACGAGATTCCCTGAGTGTAGCACGTGGATTACGTTAGATAGGCATGCTCGATTGAATTACGCAAGTGGGTTTTACAGCGTTGGCTGCAGTGATTGACGATCACCGATTGAGACACGTCAACATTCTCTATCATCGGGTCGCGTGTCCTGTATGCTCTCAAAATACTCATCTGGTAATGTCAACGGGTCGGCGGACGGTGATGTTCACGATGAAGTTTGTAGTCACAGCCAAAAGTCTCCGTTCGGCTCGACTTTTGACATCGGTCTTTAATCGGCGTTGACCGTACATCTATTCTCATTGACGTACCTTACCGCTTAACGCATCCCCAATCCGCCTGTCAGCGACGGCATCACATCATGTCGGCCTCGCTGCCTGGCAGCAGAGATCTGCCTGCTTCCCAGTATGATCTGAGCACATACTGGGGTCGCGTGAGGCACTCTGCCGACCTCTCAGATCCTAGGTGAGACTCCAATCCTTGGAGTGAGGTAGTCAAAGCGCAAGCAGACGAGTCCACGTAGTCCTCATTATATGCTGTACCTTAGGAGCTAGCCAACTACTGCCTCGCTGGTCAGTATACACTTGCTGTGCTTGACTGCAGACTCCCCTCCAACTCATCTTTCCTGGAGTTAATCTCAATGTTTGTCAACTACAAGCTAACGATATTACAGAACGCTCTTTACCTCCTCATCCGGACTTGAACATGCGAAGCGGCTTGTTACGCAGTACAAGCAAGGCAAGGTCCAATCCATGAGCCCAGACCTCTGGACCGCCAAGAAGATAATAGATAGCACGCTACATCCAGGTGAGTATCTCGACAGCACATTTCGGCAGCCCACACTGACATTGACCCTCACAGATACCGGCGAGCCAGTCTTTCTGCCCTTCCGCATGTCATGCTTCGTCCTCAGCAACCTGGTAGTCACAGCCGGCATGCTGACGCCAAACCTCTCCACCGTTGGCACCTTGGGCTGGCAGATCACCAATCAGTCCTTGAACGTCGCTATTAACGCTTCGAACGCCAACAAGTCGACGCCAATCTCGACATCGACGATGGTGCAGTCCTACTTCCTCGCTGTGGGTGCGTCTTGCGGCGTGGCCCTGGGTCTCAACTCGCTCGTTCCACGACTCAAGCGTCTCAGCCCCGGCGCCCGCACAATACTGACACGTCTTGTGCCTTTCGCCGCAGTGGCCAGTGCCGGAGCACTTAACGTCTTCCTCATGCGCGGCGAGGAGATTCGCCGCGGGATTGACGTCTTCCCCTCCGAGTCCGACGCTGCGAAGGAGAAGCGCGAATCTGCTGGTCTGCCACTGGAGTCTATCGGCAAAAGCAAGAAGGCAGCTACACTTGCTGTCGGTGAGACAGCACTGTCTCGTGTGCTCAACTCATCTCCGATCATGGTACTGCCTCCACTGATGCTTGTGCGCCTGCAGCGTACTGCATGGCTGAGCCAGCGGCCCCGAATGGTCTTGCCGATCAACCTGGGTCTGATCTTGACGACGAGCATCTTTGCGCTGCCCCTGGCGCTAGCTGCGTTTCCGCAAAGGCAAGCTGTGAAGGCAGAGAGTCTCGAGGAGGACTTCTGGACAAAGGCTGGAGAGGGTGGCATGGTTGAGTTCAACCGGGGCATTTGAGATGAGGTCTCATACATCACCTGTCTGGCTCAGGTCAAGCCATCAGCGACTCGCCAGCAGTCTGCGAAGTGCGAAAGCTCTGCACTTCGATGGCAAAGACTTTGGGACAAGGCCAAGGCTACTCTACATACATAGATCAAAGTGCGGAGCATTACATCAGTGCGTGGTGTCATACATCGTACTTTCACAATAGCTGCCTACTTCCTCCTTCCCTTCTTGCCCTTCCCGTTGACCTCGCCCAAGATCGCATCAAAAGTCTTGTTCGCATCCACATTATGTGAGCTCTTCGGCCGCTCTACACTCGAGGTCCTTGATCCATGTCCGTTCTCCGGCGCGAAGCTCGGCGGTAGTGGCAGAGGTTCCAGACCCATCATCAACGAGCTGTTTCGATGGTGAACTCTTGATGAGCTGCTCTCTCTGCCACCATTGGTCTGCAGCATCCCGTGTACAGGCGGAACAGGCGGAACATCGCCCAGCCCTCTTCCTCGCGGCCCAATGCTTAGATCGTGTGCGTTGGTAGCTTCTTGCTGGTGTAATTTCGTAGCCATGTGCGCATCACTCGCAGTCCATCGCTCAGCCATAACCCAACAGTGACTACGACGGTAAATACCCTCGACACCATGCTCAACTACATCGCTCGGCAGACTGACCACATCACCAGCCTCTCCTACGGCGTACCAGGCCCTCTTGCCTCCCGCCGTGGCAGCCCGCTCGGGATCAGCCCACGGCACACCAGATCGAGGTGGTTCGCACAAAAAGTACTCTACGCCTTGTGTATAGCGTAGCCCTGGCGCATCACAAGCCAGCATCGGCAAAGCTTGCAACACGGCGTAGAGAAAGATCCACTGGCCCACTCGGAGATCGACCATCTCAGCGATGTTGCAGCCATGCATGGCGCGCTTCTCCATGTCTCTGAACCCTGATACGAATGGTGATAGAGGTGTGTCAGCGTTCAGACAAGCGCGTGAGATAGCTGCAATCTCGTCGTCCTTCAGCTTCTTGGAGATGGCTTTGACGTCTTTCTTCTTGTCACCTGTGCCAAACTCTGGGCGAGTGGAGCGCAGGGTGGGGAGCATGGGTAGATCGAAAGGCATGGGAGGCTTGACAGGCGGACTGGAGCGGTCATACTCTGACAGAACAGCTCGTAGAGCTCGTATTGTGGGTTCTTCGCGACTTCCTTCGTGGACAACGCCGTCTACTGAGCGGGTGGTAAGGTGCGCACGATCGACAAGAAGGTCGTAGATCTCGCTCAAATCTCGGTAGAGATCCTGCAGAACAATGCGCTGCAGCCCACTAGTCTCCAGATCGTTCTTCTTGCTCTTTGCTTTCGGCGGCCAATCGCCATAACGCTGCTTCAGAGTCGCAAGATACCACTTTCGCATGCCGAAGAAGCCGTCCCTCCACGCATCGAAGCGGACACCTTCCTTGCGCTCTTCCGCTACTTTGGAGATCATGATGCCAGAGAAGATAGCAGGGAACTCGAAGTCATTCAGGATCAATCGAATCGATGCAGTGCGCTTCTCGAGGTCCATTGCTGCACGCCCGAGTCTTTGCTGAGAGATCGTGGAGATGAGAGCGAACTTAGCATTCTTCGATCCAGTCAAGTCTTCCAGCTTTCCAACTGCGTGCGTGAACGCTTCATTGTACAAAAGTACATTCTTCATGCGTTCTCCGAGGACAATGCCCTCGATTGTCCTCTCTCGACTTGCTCGCACATCCGCCAAACCAAGTTCTTGCACGTACGCATCGAAGCTACCATTCGCTACTTCGCCGTAGGTAGACCCGTCGAAGTTGCTGAAGTCGTGGCCTTTCAGAATGGATGCCAAAGTCATAAAGATCTGGAAGAACGTGTGGCGCTTTTCGGTCGCGACGATGGACTGACCACACAGGAACGCGAAGAAGTTTCGGAAGTCAATCAACGTCTGCAGATCGTCCAGTGGCGATGCGCCAAGCTTAAGAGGCATGAACAGGTGTACTGGATCAGCACTCGAAGTCGAGAAGGTCGAGTATCGCCCACGCGAGTGTTGCGACGAAGCCGAGCTCGTTGTGCCCGCTTGCT